AAAAGATATACTTATATAATTATTTCTAAAAGTTTTGTGAAGTCTTCTAATCTTCAGTTGTTTATAACCAAATTCAGTAAATCAATAAAAATCATGAAAACTGAAAATCAAGGCCTCATGCACTCATGCACCTCTGTTAATTCTGTGAGTTAATTAAGGTCTTAATTAGAGTTGATTTGTGGTCTCTGAGAGTATCCCAACTTTACCTTTAAAGCATTGCTCTTTTGTCCACTGGGGAAACTTTGTTCTGATGTCATTAATAAAGCCAATGAGTATCCCAGTCCCTTGTGTGAGATGTTCCTCACTGTCCCATGTACCTACTAGCTTGTGGTAGCGTTTGTCAACCTGAAAAGAAACATAAGCAATGAAGAGAACAATTTAATATTAACCTACAGCTAGTTAAAGGTAGTGCTGCAGTGCTTTGAAAAGGGAAGTTGGGAAAAGTCCAGTTTACACAATAAATGAAAAAAGAACAGCATCTACTTTTAATGTGACACAAACAAGTTTTCAGATTTGCACATTATATGGAGGCATGGCTTGCAGTGAACACGCTTTGACATGTTACATTAATTTGGTTTGAAACTGGCTTGTGTAATTTCTTGATCCCTCCCAACTATCCTGAAATATTCTTTGTCATTAACTGTCCCTGTTTGCAAAAAGGCCAAAGAATGCTTATTATAACGTTTACCTATATGTAAAATAATATATAACTTTAATGCTTTTTCAGTGGCAAAAATGTTTTGCATGGATTATCTATCATTAGTGTGTCTATTTAAATTCCAGATTTAGACTAAACAGCCTACCATCTTATATGTGTCTTATGCACCCCATATTAAGATTATTTCAAGTAAATCAGTTCTTCTAATCAACCTGCATGAGGCCAAAGCCATTGCCATGGTCGCCCCATCCATCCTTTAGAGCAGCTCCAGCTCTGGACTCTCTGGATATGATGGCAGCAATCACAGCCGGGTCCATCTGCTTTGCTGTACCAACTTTGATGATCTTACTCTTATACTGCTCCATTCGGGCCAGATCATGCTCAGCCAGTTTATTGGAAGCCTCGACACCTTTGAATGGAATTTGTTGATATAAATCGCAATACATGTAACTTAAGTTACTGGTCTAACACACCAGTTAAACAGTCATAGGCCTACCTTTTACGGTTAATTTGTCCTGTTTTGCTGTTACCTCTGATGCACCGGTGGTGTCTATTTTCATGATGTCTCCATAAATGCATGCTAGAAAATACATGGTAAGAATCGTCTGAAGGCCTTTAAAAAAGTCTGTAAATAATTAATTTAAAACATTAATGTATTGCTATACTATCAAAGTATCCTATTAATTAAGGTATTATTTAGCTCAGGATAATAATCATCTTACCCATGATGACAGGTGGGTACAAACAAAACAGAACACTGTACTCAAGTTGTGACTTCAGCCCACTGACTGTGTGAAGTTGTGATTGCAGTGGAACTGGTTTCTCTTTCTCTTTTTGACTTCTTCCTTAAGGAGGGACAAAATCGTCATGTTTAGTGTTGTCATAACTAGACGTTGCGAAATTGGGTAACTTCTGTGCTTTAGTCATATTAGCACATCACACCCATAGACTGTAGATCACACCCAAGCCAGACTGAAGCTTGCATCTAGGCTACGCTGACATTAAATGCATGTACTGCAATTTTACTAAGTCTTAAAATGTTATTTAAACAACGGTCAAGCATTTGAGTTACAGAAGCTCAGTAAGTGAGTCACATTAATTCAGTAATCGCTGCACCTGACTGATAAGTGCTTATGATCATGAAAAGTACTGCTCATAATCAGGGGCGGATTTAGTGATTTGGGGGCCCCAGGCAAAATACAGGAATGGGGCCCTATACAATTTCACACATTTACAACCTTGAGGTTGCTTTCACTGTTGCTCGCTGCTGCACGACCGTGTCCCATAGTTGTGTCTAATCTTTTAGATTTTTCATGTACATGTTATAAATAAAGGATTTCTTTAATGTTGTAAATCGTCTCTAGGTTACGTATGTAACCATGGTTCCCCAAGGGAATGAGACGCTGCGTCGAGTCACTTTGGGAATGCCCTTGCGTGACCGCGTTCTGAAGCATGTGTCAAATCCGTCCAATGGAGCAGCGAGACATCACGAGCAGGGTGACGTAAGCACCAGAAAGCATAAAAGCGCATCCGGCCGGGCGCAAACCAGCTTCGATGAAGTAGCGCCTGCAGGGATGCAGGGAGTATGGCAAAGTCTTACTACCAAGTCCCTGCCT